CCGAATGGTTGAATAAGTTGTTTTCTGGGCGTGAGAAAACCAGCACTACTCCTGGCTCTTGGTTTCGGTGCGGAGTTTCAAATTCGTCCCATTCCGCAGGCGCTCGCCTCAAGCCGCCTGTCACGCCTGTCAGCCTGTCTTTCGTCCAAATCGCTGCCGAGTGGCGGTGCGAAAGTCACGTTCCTCCTGCTCTTTGATGCCCGTGAGATCCTGGAGCTCGGACGAGGCGACTAGGGTGCGGTGGGTTGGCGTGGGGTGCCTGAAGAGGGGTGGGGTGGGGTTTGCGTGGCTCGGATGCGGAGCTCGGGTGCTGAGAAACCTGCGCCACCTGAAACCAGCCCAAAAGGTCCGAGAGAAGACTCGGACTCGCGACCGACGCGGCGTGACCTCCTCCCCCCCTGAAGGATGGAACCACCTTTGAAAGAAAGAGAAAACACCGCAAGGGACCCAGCGGGCCCCCCGTGGATGCGCCCTCGGTGTCTGAGGTGATATGGGGGGGGAGGACCCTGTGACGGGGGGGTCTCATCCGTCTTCGCCAACACACGCGGATCCGGATCCGCATGCGGAGCCTCTTTGATGGGGTGCACGTCGTTGTGGACTACCTAAGTCCGCAGACTCGTCTAGCAGCACATAAGACTCTGCAGCCGTCGGATCGGGGGCTGACTGAGAAGTAGATCCTTCGGGCAGGAGCCTCTTGGAGGATCATGGTGACCATGAAATCTGCACTTAAGTAGACTTAAGTCATGATTTCTTGCTTTTTGCACATGTTTTTCACCTATAGATTGAGTCTATCCCATTACCAGTAACGGTGGATGATGGTTACAGTACTACAGGCCTTGTTCAAAAACTGTCTGATATACCATGGTTTACTGACTGTTACAGTTGATAGGGGGACACCCCCAACCTCTATACCTAGACGCCCTGACCTGTCCCTGAACGCCGAACCGATCAGAATCGATGGTCTGATCCCGATCGATGTCGTTTCCCGCTACGCGGGTCTGTGGCTCTCTCTGGGATCGAAGCATGCCACGGGAATGTCATGGATCATGGAGTCCATGTCATATCATGAAAGCTTTCGCAGCAGGGGACATGCTGCGGCGCACCCACGCGTGTCACGGTGTGTCTTGATAGACCCCTTATACACTGTGGTTAGCCTGTTAATAAGGCCCTGCTAAGGAAGACCAAAAATAACTCAAAGATAAGAAATAGACTGTGAATAGTCTATTCTAACTTACTTTCGAACTATGAAAACAACATAGAAACCAGCGTTTTGCAAATGTCCGTTTGTGTTCGGTGGAGACTCTGATGGCAGGTCTGCACTTATTGAATTGAATACTTGCTTTCAATTCAATTCAATAAGTGCAAGTGTTCTCAAACTGCAGACCATTCAGATTGTTTTCTAAAACACTGTGTTTTCAGAACGCTGCTTTTGGTTCATGCGGCATGGTCGAATAAACGCTCCGTTTTGTCCGAACGTCAGGGTGAGACTCGAGGACTCGAGGATGTGGAGCGATCGGACGCTACGAACGGGGCTCCTGGCATCGCTACTGGTAACTAAGA